GAGTGTGAGATGTTTGTTTTTACTTTATGCAGGTTAACGAGCACTCCTTTTGCGTTCAAAATAAATGTTTTGTCGGATTTTGGACAAAATGCGATTTCTTCTACAATGATTACTCAGAAGTGCTGACCACTTACACTGGCTGCGTGATATAACCACTAGAACAGACATGAAGAATATGGTAATACTCAAGTAGATTTGCATCTTTTGTTCAGAAATGTGGGTGCCGTTTCGCCTAGTGCTTTAACTTCAACACTGCCACATAGTGCATCGAAGAGCCAAGTGGTGTGGCCGACCTTAGAGACACGAGACTCAATCATACGATAGGCGCCAATGTGCCAAGTTGTGCAGCTCAAAGTATGCTGGGGTCAAAAAAGGAAAGACCTCATTGAGAATGGCGCTTGATGGTGTGCCAGGCGGCACAGACAGACAATCACACGCGTCATTGATCTCATAATCTCAATAAGGGCCCAGTGCTAACATCATTTTCTTATTAATGCAAAGATGTGAGAAACAATTATACTACACAAATGAGGATGTTCAAACTATGGAACAATTGAATTCTGGTAGTCGCAAAGTATTGGTTGTAAGTCAAGAGACGGAAAGAATTAAACTTACACAAAGAAACAATGCTTGGTTGTTAATATATGTCCATTATCTTGAACAGCCAGAGCATTTACTACTGATGGAGAGGGACCAAAGGAACAGGCATAGCAAATTCACCTTAAAAGCCTTACCTTTGAGATCTTCCAGTTGCTGCTTAGCGTTTCTCACAGCTTTCTGGGCGGTTTGAACGGCTGTTTCGGATTTGTTGAGCAAATTTTCGAGCCGCTCTATGATTCGAGCCTTTTCTTCTGCCACCGGCGTCTGTCTGACCAGAGCGGCTTTCAGACGATCGCGAGCTCGCCGCATTTCCTCAATATGTCCCTCTATCACGCTCATCTCGGTGTCAAGCGTCGTTCGCAATTCGTGGGACTAAATTTGAGGGTAAATGCAAACCTTGAGAGTGAGAGAGCTTAGGGAGGAAAGCTTTTACTCCTGAATATTTTCTGTTGCATTATATCACAGTAATGTTTAATTTAGTCAAGGAAACTGTTATGAGGTTTGTCTGCTCTCAATGGATCCCACTATCACGATTATAATGCGCTAGTATCTTGTTGTAGTTTTAGGTCTGTAGTAAAATTTCGCTTCCTGATAATGAATTAAGGCAATTACATCATAATTAAAAAAAGTGAGATAAAATGTGAAGGTCATTAGAACAGTCTTGATGTAGTTTAAGGGCAAATAGGAATTACTTAGTGGCCGCTGCCCCAGTTGCCGCAGAGGTTGGTGGGCTTCATGGAGTGTATTCAAGATAGACGAAACAAATGGTACAAGATACAATTCACCCACTGCATTTTGAAAAAAAATCGTCATTGCTACGAGGAATGACAGCAAAACTATCAATCAAATTATGCTGAGGTTCGCTGCGCCGAAATGAGGGATGGATTGTTTGGACAACAAGATTCTCAGGAATTTAAGTTCATTACTTAGATGCTGCTCATTTGAGAGAATGAAATCAGATTTGCTCGACCTTCATTAGTACTTCAGCCCGAATTCCATGTGATGCAACTATATAGTGACCCAATCTACAGCAAGGTGGGAGGCGGCTTATCGGATATATTGCAGATTGCCTATACTATTCCTGTGTAATATATAGCACGCCAGTAAGGCCTGACTTCACTTTATAGCTACTATCATATCTTTATGCATGCATCGTAAAATGCATGAGTATGGCAGAGTTTATGAGAATTCCGTATTCGTCTGAGCATACTCAACAGTAAACTGTAAACTGGCAGCAACTGTCATGGCTGGCGGCATTTTCTCGATAGTGCAAGAAAGCGAGTTGTAGATCCCAGGTTGCGTCAGGGATGGCGGAAACCAACTTGGAAGCATCTCATTTAACAAATTTGAACAGCTATTCGATCATAGCGCCAATGATTTTGCTTCAAAGAAGACTCTTTGGCCCCGTGTGCCATGGCATGGAACTTAAAGATGAAAGAATCGAGATTAAAGTGGAAGGAGGCACACAGTCACCAGTAAACCAAGTTCCTGTTCCGATTTTCATCCTACACTCAGATGTTTGCATTTTGTTCAGTCAGAACAGAGGACAATATTGAGCTCATTTATTTGAGTAACCGATTTTATGCGATTAAATTTGCAGAGGAATAGGTATAGAATCGGATCGCTGGAGGCCACGACTCCAAAGCCGTCAACTTCTCCGATTCATCCATTTTTCAAGGAATTCAGTTTAGCGATTCGGTTCAAGAAGGGACAGTTTATCTTACTGAACTAATAAATTTAGGAACACATTCTTCTCAATGTATT